AAGGCGGGAGACCCAGGGGGGCCACGAGACGATGGGGAGGGGGGATGGTGGGGGTGCGACCCCCAAGAGCTGGCGGTGCAGGGGGTGCGGGAGAATGGGAGGGTGCCGGGTGAGGGCAGAGGTTGTGGGTGTTGTGTGAAGAGGTGAGTGTGAGGGTGTTGGTGGAAGGGTGTGTGAAGGTGCAGGTGTTGTGTGAGGGTAAGGGGAAAGGGGAAGGTAACTGTGAGGGGTGTGTGTGAAGGTTTGGGTGTGTGCGGAGGCGAGTGTTGTGTGAGATTGTGAGCATTGAGGGAGGAGGAGTGTTTTGTGGGAAAGGTGAGTGTGAGAGGTGTTCTGTGGACAGGTGAGTGAAGGTGAAGGTGTCACATGACAGGTTGTGAACTGAGCCACCTCGAGATCCGGGAAGGCAGCAGAGGGATGTCTGGGCAGGTCCAAGAACTCCCAGGGCAGGGCTGGGCGGGGCTGGGGTGAGGCCCCACCCTTCCAGACCCGGGAATCCAGTGTTTCCATATCATGCATCATTCTCCCAAAAGGGGCCCCTGGAAGTGAACCAACTGGAAGGAAGCCTGAGTCCTGAGCCCCAGAGAGGGAGAGGCTCCTGTGGATGCCTCCCAGGCCCTAGCGACCAGCTTCCCCACCCAGCTTCCCTGCTCTTCCTGCCCCAATCTCTTTGAGTCTCCCACACTCCATGTGCCCTTCCCATGTCTCTCCCATCACTGTTGCTGCCTCACCCCTCCAGACTTGGGTCCCTTCTCCCTCCTGGGAATGGGTCTCCCTGAGCCCACTTCTGTGGGACCTTGTAGACCTGGTCCAAGTTTATCACCCTTAGGACCCGGGAAGAGTGAGAAACCATGGAAAGTAGGAGATCTCAACCTCTCCCATGCCCTTTTGACAACTAGGTAAACTGAGATATGCTGACTGTGAAAATTCTTGCTCTTTATCTCCGTCACTACCAAAATAGTCTACATCCAGGCCCACCAGGGAACTTCAGCTCCAGATACCCTTTCTGTCCTCAGTGTCCAGCTCCCAGCATCCTGTCTGTCTTTGGGACCCAAATTCCCATCAACCCCCAAGTCCTCGGGACCTCTAGGATCCTCACTGTTCTCGGGACCAAATCTCCCATCAACATCTGTGTCCCCAGGACCCCAGCTCCAAGCAACTCCTTTCCTTTTCCATTCTCAGGTTACCCTTCGGTAAACAGGGAAAGAGGCCTCACATTTTCTGTCTTAGGATAGGTGGAAGAGAGGTGTCTGACCTAGATGTAGGATACTGGGTTAGGGGGTAGGTAGCAAATAGTTGTCTTTCCCCCAAGAACCTATAGGTCCCCTTGCCCTCATGGCTCTAACCAATGTTCTGCTCCAACTGAAGAGAATCCAACACCCGGGAGATGTTGGTTTGATTCTCATCTGTCTTCTTTGGGACCCACCATTTCTCCCTTCTGAGGACACCAGGAGAGTGGTGGTCCTGTCCCCATCCTGTCAAAGACCAGGGTGCTTTATCCATTAGAGTTTTCATGCAAGTGACAGCAAATTCAACCCAAGTGGCTTAAGAGAAAGAGAATTGGGTCACATATAAAAAAGTGTCAGCATGGCCTGTCTGTCTCTCTGTCCTAAGGGTAAATAGCTGCCCTCATGTTGCGAGATGCCTGGGGCCACACCTTTCCTTCTTATGTGGAGAGGGGCAGAGAGAGAAAATGGCAAGACGGATGGAGAGAGCCAGACTGAAGGAGACTGAGGGGGGATGAGAGAAAGGGGGAGCAGAAGCTTTAAGAAGCTCCTTCAGCAGAGTGGGGAGATAACTTCCCCCAGAAGCTTCTAGAAAACTTTTCATTAGGTTTCATTGGCCCAGATGATGCCACCTACCTATCACTGAACCAATATCAATGGCCAGGGGATGAGATTATGCTGATTAAATTAAACATGAACCACAGGCTCCCTCCACCCTCAGGTCAGAGGTGAAATCAGCTTTTTTAAAGAGAAATTATATTGGGGAGCCCCCTGCTGGGCTTGCTATGGGGGGTGGGATGGGTACACCATGAGTTGATCATTCTTGAATTTTTGGAAGTGTTGGGTTAGTGCAGACTTTGTTAGTTGTTTACTCAATATCATTCTGGGAGATACTAGAAGTATGTATTTGGTCTCTGCCCCTGGTTCCTGGCACAGAGCTCCTGAAATC